TAGTCATTTTAGAAATGTTATCGTATTTTATCATAAAAGAATTTTTATTAAATACGTTTCTTTGGTCATATTTTGAATATATGATGGATGTACACATTTATGTTGAAATAAGTAAACATTAATTTAGTCAACAACTATTTATCTTAAATCAAAATATTGTATCTATATCTCTTTTGCTGCTCTTCAGAAGTCACACAACAATATAATTAGCTAAAGTCCTTAAGCTCTCGACTTCTTTAATAAAAACAAAAAAGGAATTATGTTTTATTTCTTTGTTTTTTTTAATGTACTTTTTCATTCCTCCCTTGGCTTCTTTTACCCTTGGCCCAAATGCATTTGAGCCGGCTTTTCATGGCGCTTTGATTACCAAGGATCCAGTGTTGTTGCCTTGACTTTTGGCCACCGTCGCCGTCGTTCTGTTTTTCATTTACGTCTGTGAATTGAATCAAGTTTGCCTCGTTTCCGGTGAAGGCGAATAATTTTTTTCCCATCTCTCTTTTTCGAGTTTCTTTGCCATGGATGCAGCCAAGTTTTTTCCGCCGGAAAACACAACATCCGCTTTTTATAAATTCTCAATTGTGCGCGAAAATTCAGCACAAAGGCAGCAGCAACAAAAACGAAATCAAGGAGTGGCCAAAAAAGAAAATCCAAAAAAAAAGGAAAAAAAAGAAGTGACAATTGCGTTCTAGCGCAGCCATTTTCACGATTGTTGCTACATTTTCATGGTTTTCTCGGATCGCTGGTAGTGCCTTTTTACCCGCGAGGCTCGAACAGGTGACACTTTGACAGTTGGAAGTCATTTTAAGTGGATTTTCATTGACAGCTAAACGTGTGCGTCTGCTTCTCAATTTTTTTCATAGTGTAAATCCTCGCTGAAAAGTATGCTTTCAATTTGAACATGCTTGAGATTGACAGATTTTGATTTGCTCACAAAATTATGTAAAATCTTGTTATTCCACGATGTATAAATGTTTTGGTTTTGCTATAAATTAAAAACATATTTAGAACTACAATCAGCTTTTTTGTTATGTCTCTCATTTTCAAACTGATAAATATTTATCCGCCTTTATCTCATTACTGCATTTATTTGAATTAAATTTCCATTAATTTGTTTTCATTTAGTTTAGTGCAGTTAAAGTAATTAAATACAAACAACTGGATTAAGTGCAATTAAAATAAAAGAGCATTTGCTAAACATTTGTAGTTAGTAAAACCGAACGGATTTAAGCAAATTTCATTTAATGCAATAGCCTGCTCATAAATGTCCGTGAAAACGGCATCCCAAAGTTGAATGGCAAATGGGGAAAAATTAAATTTAGCTTCGTCTCTTGCGGGCGTATGGCTATGCTCCCCTTTTCGGACGGTAAACACAAAATTATGCACCCTGAATATGCTGTGGCATTAATTAAAAGCGACTTCATTCCGTCGCTGTGCTATTCTGCGGCATTGAAGGTAAAATGGGTTGTCAGAGGGGAAAGTGCTACACTGACCACAACATTTATGGGCATTACGCACAGTGCATAGAACATAGAACTGCAAACAACCAGAGGAGCAACCACACAAAACACGCTGTACAACCGGTGTGCTTAATATGCTCTTTAAATAGACCTGTTCTGGTCGTTTATTTTTGGCACTGACTGTGCCACACCACCAGCCACGAAATTGCCCTTAGCGTTAGCCAAAATTGTTTTGGTAAATTTTGGCTGCTCTCTATTTCACTTAAATTGTTTCATAGGGATTATTACTATTGAAAGTTTTCATTTCTAAGCTATTTAAAATATGGTGATGTAAAAATTATGAATCTTTCTATAATATATACATAAAATGTTTTCTTTTTGGCCAGCTTGCATTCGATTAATTTAAAAAATAAAATGTGAAAAGACTGCAGTCACAAACGGCTTTACTAAAAATAAGTATAAGAAATTATAAATTAAAGTTGCTAGCTTGCTTTTATTTTTCTAATAAATTTAGAAATATTTAAATCAAATATATTTGTTTGACTTTCCTTACATTGAAACATTTTGTAAAATAAAATGTAAACTTAAATAAATACTACAATATTATAAATTGATGCTGCGAGCGTGCATTCATTTAACTTTCATGGCTTGCTTTAACAACGCTATTTGACTTTCCATTTACGTGAAACGTATCCCATTGAACTCCTCATTTTTGATGGCCTTCAACCTTGCATCCTTATCGACAGCATCGCAGTTCGCCAGTTGACCTTTCTGACAGTCACCTATCATAACAGGCGAACTGCATCCATCAAATTGAGGGGGTTTCTCGATTGGTTGGGCGGGTGGATGGTCTACAGACATGGTCGAAACGATTTGTCTGCCGGCCAACTCGTCCAGCCAAATGGCATTGCATGCCAATGCATCGGTGCCACATGGATATCCTCCGCCGACTGTGACACGTTGACGTCCGAGCACGCATATCCCTTTCCTGCCAATGGCCGTCATAAATAACAATGCAGAAAAGCAGTGGGTTGGGTGAATTTAAGGTGGCTAAGAGATGGAAGGTGGCCAACGGATCATATCACAGTGAAGGCCAAATGGCAGCAAAGGGCACCTAACCGTCAGCATGACCTTTGACCTTAATTATATTATCATGAAAATCATCAGGCGGGCAGTATAACAACTATTCTTAGCCAAGAGAAATATTATACAGAATTTAAGTTTGCCCTTGGTAAGTTTTAAAGCTTTAACACTTATAATTTTTATATATTTTGTAGAAAAATAATCAACAAGGACTGTATTATGTTTTTCACAAAGTTTCGCACTAAAAAACTAAAACAAAGTGATTATTAGTGATTAATTATTGTGTGCTTTTGTAGAAAGATTTTTGACGTTTCATTTGCATTGACTTGTAAAACGGCTCTATAGGTACTATCAAAAAACAAAATGGTTTATTTTGCATTTATTTAGCATGCAAAATAATGCAGAATAATAAATAGAAAGCCATTATCAAGTAAGTTCGTAATAAGTTTACATAATATATAAGATTAAGAGTCTACAACTTTCTGAAAACATAAGTTTAAAATTCTAAGAAACTTTCAACATATCAAATCAAAGTGACAACCTGACCTTTTCTTTTAATTACATGAGCCCCCAACAATTAATCCGACCAAATGTGCGGCAACTATTTTAAACCACGTGACACTTTAATAGTTTCAAGCCCGAAAAAGTGGAAGCTCAGTTGGCAGGCAACCAACTTGCTGACAACACTGCCAAAAAATGAAGGAGAGCAGTGCAGAATTAAGCCATAAAAGTTTTTACACCTCTCATACAAAACAGGTTGTCGACTCCGCCTCCTACTTTTCCTCATTTTCGGTAGCCCCCTTTTTTGGGGGCACTTTGCTGTCAGCAGTTTTGCACGATTTCCATACAAGATGTGGGCAAGGGGGTTTCGGGCTCATAATGAAGCACTTTATCATTACCAAAGTTGACAGGGCGGGGAATGAGCTACACTGCCGGCGAACAAGCTCCTGGAATAATTACTCAGAACGCTGATTTTGTGCAGAGACCGTAGAAAGTTCTTAGCTTGATTTTAAAATGATATATTACTGCCGAAAAAATACTCAAAATGTTAATTTTCCATTAATAACACGGCAAAAAATGCATTTTAGTCATTGAAATGTATTAAGGAAACCATTAATAACAAATAATACGTGCCTTTTATTTGTTATTAATGATTTTAAACATTTAAAATTAGATTTATTTGTTCATTGCTTACTAAATTATTAAAATTTTGTATTTAATGTGGTTCCGTAAAAAAAACCATTCTCACCCTAAACACACTCCGAATTTTTCAGTGCATTGCCACATATTTTCGCTGGTCCGTGAAAAATGTTTGCAAAATATTTTTAAGGCCATACATGGGGCATACATAATATTGACATTGACAGATTAGCTGCCTTGCACACTCACATAATAACCAGCCAACTCAATTAGCACTTTATCAAAAAAAAAAGAAAATCGAATTGGAAACCTCAATTAAATGAAAAATGATGTGGTGTCCATAGCAGGCAACTCTGTGAGAAATTGTTTTAAAATGCATTCGAGTCCAGTTTTTTGCCTTCTCATCATGCTGGAGTATTAATCTAAAGCGATTTTACATTGGCCAATTGAATTAGTCGACAAATGGAGGGTGCAATGGAGGGAGCTCTTCAATTGTTCGATGCCAAAATCAAGTCTTGAAAGCCGGCAAAGTTTGAAATTTAGCCAAGCAGAGACGGACATCAATAACGTGCTCAAAACTTTGCCATAAACTCGTGGAATATCCTGTCACTCGGTCTCCAGACTACACCAAAAACTCCCATCCTTCTCCTGTTGGTCGCCTCATTGATATGCCAAAAGTCGAATTAGTTTGCAGAGTGGGTGGAGTTTGGGTGGGTGTTGGTCCTCAGTTCTTTGTTTTTGTCTGACTTTGACGGGGGCCAGTCTGAGGACCTTGGACTGCAATTTAGTGGGTATATTTTCCAGCCAAAAACGCATAAAATTGGTCGAAGCTGTGGCCAACAGTTTGTCTGAATGGGATTTAAAGCCAGTCGGGTGAAAACTGGCTTAAAGCAATCGATTGCGCTTAAAAATGGGTAATAGATAAAATGGAAGCTGGCGAGTCCTGCAGGGACCAATGTTCAAAAAGCTCTAAAAACGTCGACTCGAACAAAAAGTTAATCTTTATTTTATCTAAAATTCGAAGCTTTGTTTTTATTTGTGTGTTTTCTAAACAGATTTGGTTTAAATTATTTAAAATTATTTATTTTATTTAATCTTTGCGTATTTATTTTATCTAAAAAACTAAGCTTAATTTAGGTTTGTGTTTAGATTTCAGATTTAATTTAAATTATTTAATTGCTGCTGATATTTAACCAATGAATTCTTTTAAAGGTTGTATTCCGATAAGCATTTCGAATGAGTAATAAAATGATTATTACTAATATTATTAGACTTACCTTCTAAAATCTCTGTAAAAACGATTTAAAAAACCAAACCAAATTCTTTTAAGGACCCTACAATTTATTACATTTGGTTGCAAGCCGAAAGTGATTATGAATGGATAATACAATGATTTATCTGTGTCAATTTGGATGTTTTTGGACTCGAGACACTCTCTGCCAGCCAACTCAGCCCCGGGATGCGGCCGAGTCATAAACATTAAATAGAAACATAGAACGAGGTCTGGTCCCTGGTACGGGAACTTCAGTCAAGGGGATAAAACGTTGGGCGATGAGCACATCACCATCTCTCATCTACATACAGTTGAAGCCAAACATCCAATGTCCGGGGTCTTAACGAGTCGCCTGTCAAAGAACCAACCAAAACGTAATCGTAGTCATATTATCCGACATCGAAAGTATTTGCAACACCGAACTATTTGGGCTGTTCGGGGCAGGCGATTTGGTAGAGGAACTGCACCAGTGTCCTTGTTGGCCTGCCAGTCATCCTTCCAGCCGTGAGATAGGGTATCAGACCATAGGTGCTCAGTAGTCCAGTGCCATAGGTGTCCAGGTGGGCCCAATCGCTGCAGGGCACCAGTTCATGGAGGACAGCAGCCGCCAGACAGGAGGAGGCATAACCCTCGCCATCATTCAGCAGATCGAAGCTCAGGTGCTCTGCCACACGATCCTTGTAGTAGCGCCACAATGGGAACCGCCACAGGCGATCGCCGGTCAGGGATCCAGCCCGCTGGAATTGCTTCCAGATGTAATGCGAATTCGACCAGATCCCTGTGGCGCCACCGCCCACCGCCTTCTTCACGCCCTTGCACATGGAGCCCACATCGACGACGAGTCGCGGCTTGTACGTGATCTGGCCATAAAGCATGGGATCCGATATGACCACCACTCCCGTTCTGCTGATGTTCCTCACCGCCAGCGACTTGGAATTGAGCAGGGTGACCACATCGCCCGGCTTGCAGGACATGCCAGAGGGAAGATTTTCGCAAAGTGGTATCACGGCGGTGATATTGATGGGCAGTGATAATGCCGCAGCTGCTCGCATGGCGGCCAAAATGGAAGCGGCACCGGTGAGATCGCCTCTGAACTCATCCATTCCCTTGCAAGGACGCAGATTGATACCGCCAGAGTTGAAGGTAATCCCCTGGCCCACCAGCAATATGGGCTTATCTTCGGGGGCAGTGCCGCAGTAGGCCACCTCCAGGAGGACGGGTGGTTCGCAACTGCCCTTGGCAATCATCAGGAATGAGTTCAGATGCTGCTGCTCGATCCACTCCATGGTGCGAACCTCCACGGTAATGCCGCAGGGACACAGGGCATCCACGGCAGCCTGGGCCACCATTGTGGGCGTCATACAATTGGCGGGGGCATCACACAGTCGCCTGGCCAAATTCTGGGCCTCCGCCTTAAAGAGACCCCTTGTCCAGGACTCCACATCGGGCGATCCATGCAGCTCCAACTTGGGTATGGTGCTGCGATATTTCTTGGCCAGATTCTCCTCATACCGCCAGATGGCCAAAGCGGCACCTTCGGCCGCCTGCTCGGCATAGTCCATATTATCCACATGCACTTCGGAGCAGCCGATGGCCTGCAGCGATCGGGCACCAATTCCGGCTGCTATTCGCACATTTTCCATGCCCTCGTCCAGCATTTCCAGTTCGTTGAAGGCAATGCCCTCCAGACCCACGCCCACCACGCAAATGGAACGGAAATCGGCGTCCACATTGTTGAAGACCTTGCCGCGACCCAGACGACCCGTGAGTTTCGTTTCGCAGACCAACTCGGATAGTTTGCCCTGAACACGATCGTCGAACTTCTCGCCGGCGGGCGTGAGTCGAGGACCCTTGCCCGATTCCTTTTCGTAGAGGCCCAGGACGATGCCCTTGCCGCCCTTGACGGCATCGCCCGCTCCACAGCCGGCGGTCACATGACGGACCGGTCCAATCTGCGGCAGGACACTCACTCGCACTCGGCTCAGGCTCCTCGCCAATGCAGGTCCCTTCAGCAGCAGTTGTCCACGCATATTGCTCGAAATAGTATTTTATATCTACTATATATAGACGCGATATTATCTACACAATTTTGTTGTTTTTTTGTTGTTGCTTAAAAACGATGCGTTTACTTGTGTACTGTGCGTGTTGGTTCTTTAAACTGGTTTAATTAATTTTGAGTTGCCACATTCGGAGGTTTATCAGGTGTCCAAAAAGGTTCAAAAATGTTTCATGTAATAACGTAAAATGTGTGTTCAAAAAAAATAAAACAAAAAAAATGCGGAGTCTGCTTTCTTTGTACAAAACCGAAAGACTAAATAAACCCGAAACAATTTGTTGGTAACTGTAAAGAGCAAGATTACTAGATCGGTCAAAAGGGAATTTTTTTGAAAATTTGTAGTTGGTTGAGATCGTGAAAGCAATCAGGTCAATGTTGAAAATTTCGCGGATTATTAATATTATCTTTAAATCTATAACCTTTACTAATTTTTGGTTGCAAATAAAAAGGTTTTCTGCAAAAAAATTATCAGAGTTGGCGAAATGTATATAATTATAGAATTGTTCAACCCACAAGCATTGCCTATTAACAACTTAGCACACGGAAAGGGAGATAAATTCATCTGGCTTAAAAATTGCATAAGTAATTAACCAAATATTATATATAAGTCGTTCTTTTACTAACCGATCGGATTTCGATCAAAATATTTTATAACATTTCGGAATAAGCTTAATTTTGTCAATTTTACAGCTATAATTTGTTAAAGTTTGGAAAGCAACGAAGATATTCATTGACACCAAAAAAAACTTTATATTTGTCCTATCTGAATTCAATTTATTTAAAATGTATTTCTCAACAGACTTTTTTGTTCTTTTAAGTCACTAAAAGAACTAAAAAAGAGCGAAGTGTAAATTTTAGAGACTGACTACCATTACGAAAAAATTCTTTAAGCTCAACAATAATGGCGAGATTACTTTTTCTAAATAGTTTTTTAAATAGTTTTTTGTGGCAGGACAAGGAATTTTGTAATTAAAAACTTAGCTTTTCTCTGTCATGCTGATTATCAAAAACCTTCAAACAAAAATCATCCCAAAGCGAAAATAATTGCTTGACTTAATCTTCAACTACGCTTGCAAGTTTCCAATCAAAATTATAAAAAACTCTTCTAGCCTGCTTGCCGTTTTAAGTTTAAATTCGCCTCATATTTCCAAAAAATCTGGTTGCTGCAAAACCGTTTTACTTAAAATCAGAGAACTTACCAGCAAGTCTAAACAGTGGACCGAAAGGGGAATCAGAAACAGCTCCGAGTCGTGTGATTAGCCAATGGAGAACTCAAGAAACGATCCTTGGAAGTGTCGTGTTTCCCCGGCTTTTGTTGATTCTGCCGATGACACGTAATGTCCGGGTATATTTTAAGTGTCCAAAACGCGATTTACGTTCGGAACAAAAGCAATTTATTTAAAATGTTTATTCGGGTAAAATTTAGAAATATACTCGGAGAATTCTCGTTTTAAAGTGAACTTTATTCGGTTGACTGTCCTGTCAGTGATGTCGGGATTTTCTTAATAAATAATAATTATTAAATTATTAATTATTAAGTGGCTCAATTTATTGCAAAAAGACACAAGTCTCGGTGTTATGGTTTTTTCTATGCCTTTGCATTTATATATTAGTATTCAATCGTGAAATTGTATTTTATTACGGAGTATGTTAATAAACTGTCTTTTATATATTTATTAATAATTCTTTTAAATGGTTATTTAAATGACCTCCGCAATGGGAAAACTTTTTAATTAAATGTGCAACTGTTTGGTTGGACTTGCTTACGTATTTATTAACTTGTTCCACATTTATTCACACTGATGAAAAGTGAGAAAGGAAAACTGATTGCTGAATATTTCCCACGTGGTGGAAAAGTTTTTCCAACAATAAACTGCCAAGCAATGCAGAAAAGTCCATTGAAAAGTTTACTCCTCGGTTGATAGAAGATGTCGTTTATTGTTGCAGATGAAACAACAGAAGAATAAACAACAAAAATACTGTTGACAAATTAGAACCAACAATAAAGCTGTCGTCAAAAGTGCACATATAGAATGAAAAATGCACACTATATATTTTAAATCGTTGGTTATAACGTTTTTCTTATCATTTTTTTAGAAGTTATTTTCTTTATATGAAGATATTTTTTAATATATCTAGCAGGACCTTCTGAAAATGTATGTGCTACCAAAGTAACTGTAAAAACCGACATGCATTAAGTTCTTAATATTTTTAAAAACGTTTTAATTTATATATTTTTTTAATTATAAATTTAGACATTTTAATTTAAATATATCCTTAACTACAATTCCATAACTGATTTTTTCCAACAATAATACAAAATGCAAATCAAAAAGGGCCATGCTAGTCCAACAGATGGGTTTCGAAACTAATAAAGTTCCCGGGTAGGTTGAATGCTCCTCCGGTTATTTTTGACCAATAGGGAATTAATGGCACTGCCAAAAGGCGATGCAAAAAGAGCACCTGCAGTTCTCCATAAAGCTGTATGGCCTTCCAGTTGGAAATGCAGAAATGCTGGATCACCATATAAAGGCGAAGGTAGTTAATCAATCCGCTGGCCAAAAAGGTCAATAGCCAAGGCAACGCGAATAGCAGGAAGTTCTTCACCGGAAAGGGTCCCAATTCAGTTCCGGAATTTTGAGTATTTCGATTGAGCCAGCCCTTTTTCACCTCATTGGCGGTTAGCGGTTCTGGAAGCTTTAGGATGTCCCTTTTTTCCTCCGATTCCTGCGGCTCCTTACTTTGCAAATGCCGACTGTACCAAAGTCCGATCATAACCAGCAGCGAATACATCATCGCCTTGACCAGCATCCAGTGATTATAGATATAGCCCAATTGCAGGATCAAATTACGATCTACTGAGGGATAAGCCGATTTGAAATTGGCCTGAGCCTCGACCACTGGCTGAAGAACTGAGCACACGTGCATCGATGTCAGCAGCACAAAGAATCCTATGTCACGATACTTGGCCTTAAACATGGTTTTGGAATTTGGAGTTGGAAAAAAATTAATTTTCTTAAGCGGAAATCAAATTTAGCATCTGTTTTTGACTAACGTAAAAGGACTCTGACATTGTAGGTTTGGAATGGAAACAAAAGTCTGATAGATTATTACCTAGCTACTTGGGTAAATTAAATGCCGCTAGTATTTATAGAGTTTATATTAAAATTATTGTTAAAATAATTATCAATCTGTATAAATTATTAATTTTTTAAGTGAATTAGTAAGTAGTTTTTTAGCTTTTGCACTAAAAACAAGCTTATTAAATAATTTAAATATCCCGCCAATTCAAACAGTTTGAGAACAACTGTAGGCTATGTTAAGAAAAAATGTTATTTAGTATTTAAATGGTATTCATGTAGTTCATGTCATGGCTAATCGTTATAAATTTGGTGGTGTTCTTTGCAGCCTCACTGTTAAGCGATTTGCTCAAAAGCTGCTAGAAATTTGTTAAATAAAACTAGGCCAACAAGTTGCTTAATAGGTGCCAAAGGTCTATATATTAGATTTTTCGGAACACGCTATGCAAACAAAGCATTTGCGAATTACATTTTTACATTACATGCAGTCTCAGTGTAAAAATGGTGTCAACTGCCCAAGTGGTATATGTGTGGTATAATTTGGTATATTTATTGACTGCTTGTAGGGCATATTCAGCCGGTTCCGCTGCAGTCATACTGACAAAAAACCTGGAGAAGGCGACACATTTTAAAATTGTGAACAAAAAAAGAAAAATCGTGCAGGATGCAGCGCGAAATAGCGCACAATTTGTCCAGCGGGGAGCAGCGCAGCAATGATGTGGCACCTGGACAGGTGAAATCATTCGAGGAACTGCGATTGAGCCGCTTAATGATGCGCGGTCTAAAGCGCCACAATTTTGTGACGCCAACGAAGATTCAGGCTGCTGCCATTCCAATGGCCCTGACTAATATGGGTAAATAACTCGCTAAATATACGGTTAACCAAAGGGTTTCCAATATTTACTATTACATTTTCGATAGATCTGCTGGTACAGTCCAAAAGTGGAACCGGCAAAACCCTAATATATGTGATTGCCGCCATGCAGGGCTACCACAGCAAGATGACTCGTCCTCATGCCTTGATTGTGGTGCCCACTCGTGAACTGGCCATCCAGGTGGAGGATACATTCCAATACCTCTGCCAATTCTATCAGGACTTCAAGTCCACTGCCTTCATTGGGGGCACCGAAGTGGCCAAAGATCGCAGGCGCATCAAGAAGAGTCGGGTTATTATCGGAACACCTGGACGCTTATGGCATCTTTATCAAAACCGGGTCTTGGATGTCTCAAAACTCGGACTTCTTGTGCTCGACGAGGCCGATCAGCTATATCAAACTAGGGGTCTTCAGGATACGGTCAATCAACTCATAGAGGTCCTGCCCAAAAACCGTCAAATAATAGCCTGCAGTGCCACCTATGACCAGGATTTGGATGTGCGCCTGGCCAAGATCATGAACAAACCCATGCTCATATCGAATAGCGAAAGGGCCACCGTCCTCCTGGGCATTCGTCAGTTCGTCTACGAGTTGCCGCCACAAACAAACAGCGTGGAGGAGATGCGCTTAAAACTGAAAGTCCTGGCCGAGATCTTTAGCCAGTTGCCCTACGAACAGGCCGTGCTCTTTGCCAGCTCCCAAATGCGTGCAGATTCGTACAAGAACTACCTGGCGGCCAGCGGAGTCGAGTGTCAGTTGATTACTGGAGCTATGGCACAATCGGATCGTTTGAATGTCTTCGAGGGCTATAGAAACTTCACCATGCGCACTTTGGTGACCACCGACTTGATGGCCCGTGGTGTGGACTCACCACATGCCAATCTAGTTATAAATCTCGATCCACCCCACGATCATGTGACCTATCTGCATCGCATTGGACGTGCTGGGCGCTTTGGATCCAAAGGCATAGCCATCACTTTTATTTCCTCCCAGAAGGAGAGCCAGAAATTCAAGCAAATGTCCCACAAAGTGGCTACGGCTTGGTCTGTCCTAGAGTTTCCCAAGGAACCGATGCCCAAGGACTTTAACTTTTGGGATTTCGACAAGTACAATTTCGGGTATTTCATTAAAGAGACCAATCCGCAACAGGAAATGCCTGCGAAGCGTACCCAACCTGATGTAAAAGCAAACGATGTACCAAATAAGGAAGAAGTGAAGAATGATCTGGAGAATTCGGATGTTGCTTCCAGAAAACAACCCGAGGTCTTAGAAAATCCTCAATTGGAGAATAATGCCAGCAATATGCCTAACAACTTGGAGAATGATACAGATAATTCACAAGTTGTTGCCAAAAATATGCCAGAGGCCTTAGAAAATGTTAATTCATATGATCAATTGAAGGAAGCTGTTAAAGATAAAGACCAGGGAAAACCCAATGATAACTCTTTCAAAGATAAACTAGACTTGGAAATCGTACCAGGTACTTCGAAAAAAATTGTTAGTCCTAAAATCAAAGAATTAAAAGAGGTCGAAAAAGAAATGTTTAAGCAAGATAAAAAAGATGCCTTGTTGAAGACTTCCAAACCCGAAGAAGAAATTTCAAAAGACAAAGACACTGCAATTAAAAAGCCAGTAAAACCCAAGCAACCTCTTACTACAAGCAAACTTTTTGTAGATGCTTTATCACAGATCGAAAAACAAACAACTAATACTGAAAATCAGGAAATGCAGCTAACACCAGTAATCACAGTAAATGAATATTATATAGACAACAACATCGATGAAAGCATGGGCCCAACTGACGACAAAGAAAATAAGCCTAATAATGGAACAGTCACCACACTTCAGACAAAGAATACTATAAACCCGGAAGAGATGATTTCCCCCGAATTGACAACAACTTTAACACCACTGGATTTAACCCAGGAGCCATCGCCATCCACTGTGACACCACCTGCGCCACCAGCCAACTCGATTAACAACAAGACCTATTGTCTGGCGGCTCCAACACAGACTAGCTCGATGACCATTCAGAACATGGTTATATCGAACACGGTGGACGATGCCAGTAGCATAAGTTCGGATAGTATGGGATGTGGCTATCATAGTGAAAAATCCTACGAAACTATCTTTTCCACCAGTGATGAGGAGCTAATCTGGAAGAGATTGCAGACTAAAAAGAAAAGGCGTCAACTGAAGAAAGTCAAGGGAAAACGCCGTAAGCTTCTCTACAAAAGGCGTCAACTGAAGAAAATCAAGGGAAAACGTCGTCAGCTTCTCTACAAACTAAAAAAAAATCATTACTTGAAGGCTAAACGTAATTTAAAACCAAAGGTTAGTTCACAATACACTTAATGTAAATCACAATTACTTAAATTTTTTATTTTCCCCGCAGTTACAGTATGTACATAAAAATGCATCACTTTTGCCAGGTAATAATCAATATTATCTGTTCAAGAAAATGAAAAATCGTGATAGCATTTTGAAACGCCTGTTCAACTACAGTAACGACAACAAAATGACTAATACAGATAATGCCATCTTGCTGGATAATGTCTATCTCACCATCCTCGAACTTTTCTACAATAGTGATGAGGATAAAAAGCAAGTATTAGAGTCGCAGAAGGAGGACTTAGTTTCCCTTGGATATAGCCCGAGCCAGGAGTCTCTAATTTTGGAGAAACCAGAACCGCAGAATATGCTGAGTGTTCATGTGATCCATCAGATGGACATTCCACCGCTGCCACAGGCAGCCGATGAAGGGGCCGCAGGAAGTGGATCCGATATGGACGCCTCGGAGGAGTACAACGAAGGGGAAGAGGACTTTGATGATGATGAGGACGATGACAGCGGCGAACTCAATTCATCGAGTGGTTTTGTGGAAAGCAACGAGAGTGCTTCATCCGGAATTGATACCTCTGTTTACGAGACAAACTCCACTGGCGAGGAATACGAATATGAAACGGATGAAGAAAGCTATGGAATTTCTCATTCCTCGGAGGAAGAATACGATGATGAGGAAGATGATGAGTTGGAGCCCTTCGAAGATGGTGTCCAAGCCGAAGAAGAACAGGAGGAAGAGGCTCTGAGCAACATCAGCGTAGCTGGATCAAGCTCGCAAGGATCTGTTGAAGAAAGCAGCAACGATGATTCTTCGGATGATGGTTCAAATAATCCCATGCTGCCAACGAACAATGCCCAATCGCAGTGGATGCAGACTTTTAACGCGCAGTTCCAATTTATTGCCTCCCATGTGGCCAGCCACATGGATAACTATATCTAAATTGCTATGGAAGCAAAACTAGTCGAAGCTCAGGCATAATCATAAACAAATCATTCACAAATGAAACGGATCAGTTCCACGAGGCTGTATCAGCCTCTCTCTCTCTATCTATCTTTACATCTTTATATCTTAGCCTGTTAACACTTCTTCCTTCATTGGAATACTCATTATCAAGATAGTTGATACCATGTTATGAATTTTGGAATACGAACGATGAATGTTTTATATGCAAACAATAAATTGCAGACTTTGTTACCAAAAAATACGAATTTTCAATTGGAATTTTCTGTATTTTGTATTACTTTACATTACATTAAACGGTGTTTCGATTGGCAGTTGGAAAATTTATTGTTTTTCATGTTTATTCACTCTGTAAATTAATCCGCAATGTGAAAGTTAAAACCCTTTAATCATAGGCAATGATTTATCTAGGAGATGAGAAAACAAACATTTTCCTTTGCTTTTGGACAGGCGGATGAAGGTAAAGAAGCGGCGCCAGCTGACTGCCGGGACATAAATCATAAAGTCAGTGGGATCGGTCGGCACCGACCATCGGGCTACACAGACATCAGCTGTGTGGCAGCAGCAGGCAACATTGTTGCACGGCCGCCGCTCACTTTGCATTGATTGCAACTGGCCTAAAAGGTGTTAACCCATTAATTAGCACTTTTCGGAATTTATACGCTAGATCTGGAAAGTTATAAAAAAAAAATCACTGAAATTAATAGGAAGACAATTTCGTTAAAAATAGTATTTCATTATTATAACAAATATAATAAATAGTTCAAAACTTTATAGTAAAATCGAGAATTAACTTTTACAAGTTTTACTCCATAATAATTTAAATCAGTTCCCTATACAAATTATTTACTTTTTAGAAGTTGAGAATGAGAGAAATTTAAATTACTGAAGGCTACACCATCTGATTAAGTTGTATTAACAGATGCTGAAAATTGATTAAAAAGTGCTTGTAATATTCCAGGGACCAAAGATATATCCTATTTATACCACCAATTGCAAAGCTTCTTTCTATCTACATATGATTGGAATTATTATAATTATATTTTATGAAAGTTAGGGAGGTTAACAACGCGTTTTTAAAGAAATAGAGTGTATTTAAACATTAATTTATTAATTATTATTATTATTTTTAAAAGATTTAGGAGGAGTGTTCAGCGGGTTAAGCCAAAGAGAAGGTCCACAGGCAGCAAGTCGCGTCGGTGGCATAGTCAAAACATTCGCCCTGCGGTTAAGCACGCAAAATTGCCGGCATCTGGATGGGACTGCTCAGTGGTCGCCGAACTCCGGTGCCCCAATCCCCCCTTGATTCACCCCACCTCTGGAAACCCCCCTCGAAAAGCCTCCCCCCTTGCGTTCCAAATCCAATAAGGAGCGTGAGAAAACGCGCCACCGCTCGCAAATGCAAAGCGAGTTGGAAGCGACAACATTTTATAGATCCTAGAGACATCGAGAGCTGCATTTTGTCGCCGCAGTGGCAGTGGCAGCAAACTCAATTCGATTAGCGATAAATGCGAGATGCGAAAAATGCTCGGCCAGCTGTTGCAGGTGTTAAAGTCTTATAATGATGTTAACATTTTTATGGCCCACAACAAAATAAACTAAAAATTTGTTCAGCGCAATAATATTTTGTGGTCTCGCCGTCCATATATGGGGGCACAGCCAATTGCCGCCGTTTTTTTTATTTTTTGTATCTGGGGGCTAAGTGGAACGCTCCAGGGGCAAGTTGCAGATACAGATACAGATATACCTGCCGGGCCGCACAAAACTAATTAAAATTGCTGAGCGTCGTAAAAACAATTATAGCCAAATTACTGGAAAATTAAGAAAAGTATCATATGGGGGGAGGTTATTAACAAAAAATTTGTTTTACAATTTCAATATGGAAACAAAGCAAATGGTATTATTGTTGGGAAACTTAAGCACCTGTCATATATGTTAGAGAAAAATTCAAGTTGAAATCTACTTCTAATTAGTATCGATTTTAATTGAGAACTGATAATAATTGAAAGTTCAAATAAAAGTAGTCATTTAATATCTAAATGGGATTCAGATTCTAAACCCTTTAAAATAAAAATAACTTATAAAGGAATTAAAAAACGACAAGCAAACAAAACATTTCTTTGTATTTTAGCAATATTCCTTTTTGTTTTTTAAATGGATCTAATCAAGTTTGATTCGATAAACTATTTGCCTAGAATATATATTTACCTTTCTGATTAAAAAAATAATTATAGGGGCACAGGAAGGAAAAATCCATTAGTCTCCCAACTCCTAATTAGAATTTATTGCTTATGAAATTATGATAAATGAAAGAGAGATCTCAATTAAGATACGGTCCGCACTAATCATTTCAATTTAATCCAAGCCCTTGGCTAACCAATGATTTCAGCACTTGAAGACAGTCCTCCGCCCCTTTATCACCACTTTGTGGGAGTGGCAGAGTGCCGATTTATGCGACCGAATGCCCGACGCCTGGCCACGCATTCATAAATAAAAGTCATCATTAATTAAATTTATTATAAACAACATGGCATGCCTGCAATTATTCACTCACTCATTCACTCGCTTGTTGCTCTTTCGGCCCAAAACGCGACGACATGCCAAAACAAAAAGTAAAACGTAAGAAACCACAAAAAAATGTAAATAAATGTGAAGAAAGAGAAACGCTAGGAAAACGCACGCAATGTGGATTTAAATACGCGCCAAGCAAACAAAGCTGAAAACAAGAAAGGAAAGCTAACTTCGGGCGGAGCCGAAGTTGATATACCCTTGCAGAATATTCTATAAATTATATTCTCCCAAATTATTCATATGATGCATTCTTAATACTCATAAAAAGTCCCAACTTCCTAACTTTAAAAACACCAAAGTTATGTCATTTCCGATCGTTCAGTTATATGGCAGCTATAGGATATAGTCGGCCGATCCTTATGAAATTTGGTAGGTCGGATTGATTGGCCAAAAATAAAACCCATAGAAAATCCCAACTTCCTAACTATACAAACACCAAAGCTATGACATTTCCGATCAATCAGTTATATGGCGGCTATAGGATATAGTCGTCCGATCCTTATGAAATTTGGTAGGTCGGATTGATTAGCCTAAAATAAAACCCGTAGAAAATCCCAACTTCCTAACTTTAAAAACACCAAAGTTTTGGCATTTCCGATCATTCAGTTATATGGCAGCTATATGATATAGTGGCCCGATCCGGCTCGTTCCGATTTATATACTACCTGCAATAGAAAGACAACTTTTGGGAAAGTTTCAAGCAGATAGCTTTAAAACTGAGGGACTAGTTTGCGTAGAAACGGACGGACAGACGGACAGACGGACAGACGGACAGACGGACGGACAGACGGACATGGCTAGATCGACTCTCCTGGTGATGCTGATCAAGAATATATATACATTATAGGGTCGGAAATGTCTCCTTCACTGCGTTGCAAACTTTTGACTGAAATTATAATACCCTCTGCAAGGGTATAAAAATCGTTGACAAAAATGATCTGTGGGCAATTATAATGAATTATTTTGACACTTAGGGCCTGTGCAAATGCATAACTAAAATGCATAAACGTAATTTATGTAGTGCCCCACCGAAATGCTGTTTTATTGCATTTTAAATGTGATAAATAAACTTTGGGTTATGTTTTTCGGTCCACATAAATAGAGTCCTACGCCAAAAATATTTTTCCTGGCATTTTTCACTTAACTACAAGTTGCACATTGCATGGAAAATTGCTCAGAATCCGTTTTTAATTGGTGAAAAATAGCAAAGATTTTCTACGCTCTCGCTCTCGGTGTCGGTGCTTTTTTGCCCCAAAGGGTTTGCCAAGTAGCCACCTTTCCTGCCTTTTTGACCATGGCTAAGTTAGACATGGTTTTTTTTCCATGCCAGCGACTCCAGCGCGATTAACATCGCCCCAAAGATTCGCAATGCCAATAAATTGTGCACATTATGGCGAGGTGAGCCGCCGGCCAATAGGTTGGCCCGAAGTTGAAGGGATCAGAGACCATAACTTCCATGCGATGCATACTTTTACGAGGCACTGTTTGAGATGCTGCGGTGGTAAAACTCATGTTCACTTGTGTGCCAATCCAAAGCAAAAGATTGTACGATATTTTTTTATGACATTTATATTTTTAAAGCTGTCTAAGTGATTCGTATGAGCAATACTTTTATTTGGTAATAAAATATAAATCTTTAGAAAATCAATTCCGAGGTTAAAAATATTAAAAATCGAATGAATACTTAAATAAAATAATTTACCGGTTTTAAAAAAAGGTTAAAGAAGAGTTGCTTGCAAATGGAATTTTCATAAATATTAGGAATATCCATTGGGATAAAACATAAATTATTTGAATGTGTCTTTTTTAACAACTTGATATTCCATATTAAAATAAAAGGCTGAATAATGTTCGTCAATATTATGTGGATTTTATATTTATTTTTATTATGTCTCTTTGATATTTCTAGAGTTCCGCTTACTTTGCTTCCCCGTTCAAAGCCCAATCATAAACCTCTTTTAGAACGTCTGAAAGACCGATGAAGTGGGCAAACTTCAAGTGGCAGCGATGCCTTTACGGTGGTGCCCAATTGGCAGCGAGACTTTTTGGCTTTTGTGGTTCCCAGGCGACTTGGAGCGAAACATGCGAGCTGCGGCTTTAATTGTTGCCGCTGCCGCCAAGTGGATTTTCTAATGCAATTTTCCAAAAGAGCTTACGCAATGCCCGGCAACAGTCACCATCAGCAGCAGCAGTAGCAGCAAAACAGCAGCAACAACAATGGCTTGAACGTGTTGCGCGCATAATTACTAAACGCAGTCAGTCGGTGAGTAACTGCGGCTTTTTAATCCCCCTTTTGGCCCCCTTTTAACCGCCCCGCCCTCCCTAGAGTTCGGACGCCTTTGCTGTGTGCCGATCTGAGCCATAGTCCCAGATCCAGTACCAGATTCAGAGTCTCAAGCCCCGGCAGTAATCATTCCGCACATACGCGCATATTTAGCATTTTTAAATTGTTGCATTTCGCGCATTTTTTATGACAAGAGCGAGACTTTGATGCTGACGGTTCGCCATCACACGGTAAATAATTTTCATATTTTTTATCGATTATGAATAATCACAATAATATTAGTTTGAACTTACTATTTTTTGCAAATTTATATATTTTAATATTTGATTTCAAAAAGATTAATTAACATAAAATCACATTAAAATCTAGATACTCCACTGGATATTCATGTGTATAATGCAAAC